CACAGCAACTAAGAATAAAGGTCTGAAGTTAAACTTTTTTTTAAAAACGGGTACAAGTTAAATGGGGGCGACCAAATAGCGTGTCCTATGAAACATTTATTACGCATAGATCGTGAAAAATATTAACACAATCATGTCATTTATTAGGCAATTACAAGTAAATTTCAAATAATTACTACTCCCTCCGTTTCAATTTAGATGAGGTACTTTGACTCGGTACGGAATTTAAGAAAAAAAAGAAGACTTGAAACTTGTGATCTTAAAAGCTTAAGGGGTAAAAGCTTTGTGTAGCCATGACATTTGTGTGGTTATTAAAGCTTCTCATTAAGGGTAAAATGGGTAATATAAAGAGTTTAAAATTGAATTATTTTCAATTGTAGAAATATATCATTCTTTTTGGAACGAACTAATAAGGAAAGTATGTCACCTAAACTGAAACAAAGAGAGTAATTGATAATTAGGTGAAACTTATAACTAACATACTATCACATGTTTAATTCATTACTAGCATAAAAGAATTGTTACATCATCGGCGTATTATAACCAAAATCCATGAAAATTATAGCTCTTTGTTATATAGCAATATTGTGAACTGAAACAAGGTTGAAATGGCCATCTTATTTGCACTGGACCAGTCCCTGCTCAACCAGAGAAAATATCTACTTACACAATTGAGGTTGAAAACATAAAAATCAGTGTACTGATGATGCCTAGGCATTTAAACATATTAAACAAAACAGTAGATGTGAAAGATAATGAAGAATAACACTAAAGTAAGAAGATTCAGATGCCTAAAGCAATATAATAAAAAACAAGGTACTCCTACTATTTATCACTAACAGTACATTATGATGTTTTAAAACATGAGATTTTCTAACTAAATCCTCATGCTACAACAATAACAACGACACGACGATCCAGTGGAATCCCGCAAGTAGGGTATGAGGAGGATAGTGTGTACGCAGACCTTACTCCTACTCCGGAGGAGTAGAGAGGCTGTTTCCGATAGACCCTCGGCTCACGACGATGGTAAAGAACAGTGAAGCTGTAACATCAAAAGAAGTCAAAAAGATAACACCAACAACGTGATAACCAGACAGCAAAAAGAAAAGCACTAACAATAAGCAGTAACAATGGCATAGCACTGCAGACATAATGGAAGTAATAAGGACACAACAAGAGCCACTAGCATTCTATGATAAAATACTATCAAAGTAGCCTCCTACAACCTAACCTGCAACCCTAATGAAGTAATATGGACACAACAGGAGCTACTAGCGGCATAAGACACGACACTATCACACTAGCCTCCTACCTCCTAATCTACAACCGTAATGCTCGACCTCCACAGCTTCCTATCAAGAGCCATGTTCTCAGAAATCTGAAGTCGCATCATATACTGCCTGATCACCTCTCCCCAATACTTCTTAAGCCGCTCACGGTACAAAACTAGCTTTCAGATATTCCATCAACACCTATTCCACCAGTTATACAAATATCATCTATTCTATCATCGTCTGTCCTTCAAAATTTGTGGCATTAGACGGTTCCTTTCTCCAAATGTACACTGTTGCTCATAATTCCAGCGAGGTAATAAAATTACCAGAAAATCATCCAAATATCAACACAGACCATTATGATCTTTGAACAACGGCAGGGTATTAAAAAGACAATCTCATATCCTAGGTTTCATCTATCAATATTAAAGTACAATCAGGATCACAGTTTACTCAACCGGCAGATGCAGGGGAAGATATATTACTAAGCCTAATGTAAACAAGCAACTTTGGTTTAACAGTAAGCACAAACAATTAGTATCAGCATAGCAATAAGAATGACAATAGATACAAGCTCTTACCAATATCAAATCTAAACATCCAAGCACAATTCATCAATTAGAAGAAATAACAGAACTTCTAATGTATTCATTACAAAAACTTTGTAAGTATCAAATATATGAGGCAACCACACCAGGTGAAAAAAAATACCACACATACACTCATAAATCATTTCCGCTTATATGCCTGACATCATCCTCACTATTTTCATCTTCATCAGTGTCAGAGGGAGGTGAAGGGTCAAGCCTAGCAGCATCAATGGCCCACTTAATCACCTTCTCAACTTCATCGTCATCCTCTTCATTCTCCGAAGAATAAGCGGGAAGGGAGCTTTTGAGAGCTGTAAATCTGGGAAACAAGTTAACATCGGAAGCTGTAGAGGTTGAACGTGGTTGTTGGGGAATAGGGTTTTTGGTTTTGGATTTGAGGGCACGGAAACGTTGATCGAGATCTGGATCGATGAATTGGGTGGAAGAACCATGAGCCATATGGGAATTGAGGCTGAGCTTGAGGAACACATCATCCTCTGCCGCGCGCAGCAGCTCTTCAACCTCGTCGTCTTCCGTCTTCTTCTTCCTCCTGTTGTTGTCGATACCTCTGCTCATTCTCTTCGTGTTGATGACACGGTACCACACTTGGCCAATTCAAACTTCAAACACAATAGACTCGAAATTAGGCTGTATCTGGTTGAAAATTAAAATTACAAGTTCAAGTTGTAAAAATAGTTCTAATGTAGTATTTGGTTCTAATTGTGTTTGGATATGATTTTCCTTAAAAAACAAAGTTAGATATCTATAAATAAAAATTCTTATTTTGTTATAAATATATTATATTAAGGATATCTATTTAGTACTCTGTTGTAAATAAGCTTCCCGAAGAAGCTTATCTATATGAGACTCCGCCGTAAATATGTTTATCTATTTAGTACTCTATTGAAAATAAGCCTTCCGAAGAAACTTATCATTTCGGTACTCCGTTATGGATATACATCACTCTCAATAGAAGATTATCTATATCTGGTACAATGAGCTTATCCTTTCGGTACTCCGTTATGGATAAATATCACCCCCAGTAGAAAATTATCTATATCTGGTACAATGAGCTTATCCTTTCGGTACTCCGTTATGGATAAACATTACCCCGGTAGAAGATTATCTATATCTGGTACAATAGCAGTTTACAAGCAGCTTACACAGCAGCTTGCAGAAGCAGCTTACACAACATCTTCTTTTCTTCTATAAATAGAGGAGATTTCAGTTCATTATGTATAGAAGTTTGAAATTTGAAAAATATATCAGTTTCTCTCTATACTTATCTTTACTTTATAGTCTGTATTTTATAACACGTTATCAGCACGAGACTCTACCATCTCGAGCCAATACTTTGAAAGTATCAGAGGTACGAACTTTCTTTTTCTAAATAATGTTAAATATTTCTAAACTTGAATTTGTAGCCCTAGATATATCAGGCAAAAGTTACATGTCTTGGGTGCTTGATGCTGAAATTCATCTTGATGCGATGGGTGTGGCAAATACCATCAAGGACAAAAATCAAGCATCAAACCGAGACCGTGCCAAAGCAATGATATTCCTACGCTATCACCTTGATGAATGCTTGAAAATGGAATATCTCACTATTAAAGATCCAGTCATACTGTGGAATAATTTGAAAGATAGACATGACCACCTGAAGATGGCCGTTCTTCCACAGGCATGTTATGATTGGACTCATCTAAGGCTACAAGATTTTAAATCTATCAGTGAGTATAATTCTGCTATGTTCAGATTTATTTCCCAATATGTGGTGATAATATTACTGATCATGATATGTTTGAGGAAAATGGCACTGGTCACGTACATGTCGTACGCCAAAGCACCTGGTTGAGTTGTATCAAGCCTTCCTGAAGAAGACAGAGAAAAATGCTAAACAAATTTTATTTCTGAAGATAATTTAGACTTCATACGTTTGGATGTAGCTGATTACTTTGCACTCCGTGAAGGAGAAACAAGTCATGTGATCGGTGATGAATCTGTAGAAATGTAAATATTTTAATTTTTGTTGTTTGTACTAGATAGTATGGTTATGTAATTGTTGTACATAAATAAAAGCTATGCTTTGATAATGATGTTTACTATCATATTTATTTTGTTTATGTCATTTTAAAAAATATGGATAATTTTCAAATTATGTTTGGATCAAAGACCATTCATGAAGATATTTGTGTAATTGATAGTGGAACAACTCATGCCATATTCAAAGATTAGAAATACTTTTCTTATTTGCATAAGAAAAAAATAAATATTTCAACAATTTCTTGCAATATAAGTTTGATTGAAGGCTCCGGAAGAGCCACTATATTTCTGTCTAAGGGAATAAAATTTATAATAGACAATATATTATTCTCCTCAAAGTCCCGAAGAAACTTGTTGAGTTTTATAGATATCCGCTGAAATTGGTATCATGTTGAGACGATAGATGAGATGAATATGGAATATCTTTGTATTACAAAGAATGTTTCTGGCCAGAAGTGCATTGTAGAAAAGTTACCAACTTTATCTTCCGGCTTATACTATTCAAAGATTAGTATAGTTGAAGCACACTCTATCGTAAACCAGAAGTTTACTGATTCAAATATTTTTGTGCTTTGGCATGGCCGTTTGGGCCATCCTTGATCAATAATGATGAGACGAATTACTGAAAATTTGAGTGGGCATCTATTAAAGAACCTGAAAATTCTTACAAATAATGAATTTTCTTGTGATGCTTGTTATCAAAACTAGCTTTCAGATATTCCATCAACAACTCCTATTCCACCAGTTATACAAATATCATCTATTCTATCATCCTCTGTCCTTCAAATCTTGTGGCATTAGACGGTTCCTTTCTCCAAATGTACACTGTTGCTCATAATTCCAGCTGAGGTAATAAAATTACCAGAAAATCATCCAAATATCAACACAGACCATTATGATCTTTGAACAACGGCAGGGTATTAAAAAGACAATCTCATATCCTAGGTTTCATCTATCAATATTAAAGTACAATCAGGATCACAGTTTACTCAACCGGCAGATGCAGGGGAAGATATATTACTAAGCCTAATGTAAACAAGCAACTTTGGTTTAACAGTAAGTATAAAAAATTAGTATCAGCATAGCAATAAGAATGACAATAGATACAAGCTCTTACCAATATCAAATCTAAACATCCAAGCACAATTCATCAATTAGAAGAAATAACAGAACTTCTAATGTATTCATTACAAAAACTTTGTAAGTATCAAATATATGAGGCAACCACACCAGGTGAAAAAAAATACCACACATACACTCATAAATCATTTCCGCTTATATGCCTGACATCATCCTCACTATTTTCATCTTCATCAGTGTCAGAGGGAGGTGAAGGGTCAAGCCTAGCAGCATCAATGGCCCACTTAATCACCTTCTCAACTTCATCGTCATCCTCTTCATTCTCCGAAGAATAAGCGGGAAGGGAGCTTTTGAGAGCTGCAAATCTGGGAAACAAGTTAACATCGGAAGCTGTAGAGGTTGAACGTGGTTGTTGGGGAATAGGGTTTTTGGTTTTGGATTTGAGGGCACGGAAACGTTGATCGAGATCTGGATCGATGAATTGGGTGGAAGAAGAACCACGAGCCATATGGGAATTGAGGCTGAGCTTGAGGAACACATCATCCTCTGCCGCGCGCAGCAGCTCTTCAACCTCGTCGTCTTCCGTCTTCTTCTTCCTCCTGTTGTTGTCGATACCTCTGCTCATTCTCTTCCTCTTGATGACACGGTACCACACTTGGCCAATTCAAACTTCAAACACAATAGACTCGAAATTAGGCTGTATCTGGTTGAAATTTAAAATTACAAGTTCAAGTTGTAAAAATAGTTCTAATGTAGTATTTGGTTCTAATTGTGTTTGGATATGATTTTCCTTAAAAAACACAGTTAGATATCTATAAATAAAAATTTTTATTTTGTTATAAATATATTATATTAAGGATGTTCATTTAGTACCCCGTTGTAAATAAGCTTCCTGAAGAACCTTATCTGTATGAGACTCCGCCGTAAATATGTTTATATATTTAGTACTCTATTGGAAATAAGCCTCCCGAAGAAGCTTATCCTTTCAGTAGTCCGTTATGGATAAACATCACCCCGATAGAAGATTATCTATATCTGGTACAATGAGCTTATCATTTCGGTACTCCGTTATGGATAAACATTACCCCCGGTAGAAGATTATCTATATCTGGTACAATAGCAGTTTACAAGCAGCTTACACAGCAGCTTGCAGAAGCAGCTTACACAACATCTTCCTTTCTTCTATAAATAGAGGAGATTTCAGTTCATTATGTATAGAAGTTTGAAATTTGAAAAATATATCAGTTTCTCTCTATACTTGTCTTTACTTTACAGTCTGTATTTTATAACACGTTATCAGCACGAGACTCTGTCATCTCGAGCCAATACTTTGAAAGTATACAAACTTTCTTTTTCTAAATAATGTTAAATATTTCTCAACTTGAATTTTTAGCCCTAGATATATCGGGCAAAAGTTACATGTCTTGGGTGCTTGATGGGGAAATTTATCTTGATGCGATGGGTTTGGCAGACACCATCAAGAACAAAAATCAAGCATCAAACCGAGACCGTGCCAAAGCAATGATATTCCTACGCCATCACCTTGATGAAGGCTTAAAAATGGAATATCTCACTATTAAAGATTCTGTCATACAATGGAATAATTTGAAAGATAGATATGACCACCTGAAGATGGTCGTTCTTCCACAGGCACGTTATGATTGGACTCATCTAAGGCTACAAGATTTTAAATCTATCAGTGAGTATAATTCTGCTATGTTCAGAATTATTTTCCAATATGTGGTGATAATATTACTGATCATGATATGTTGGAGGAAAAGGGCACTGGTCACGTACATGTCGTACGCCAAAACACCTGGTTAAGCTGTATCAAGCCTCCCTGAAGAAGACAGAGAAAAATACTAAACAAATTTTATTTCTGAAGATAATTTAGACTTCATGCATTTGAATGTAGCTGATTACTTTGCACTCCCTGAAGGAGAAACAAGTCATGTGATCGGTGATGAATCTGTAGAAATGTAAATATTTTAATTTTTGTTGTTTGTAGTAGATAGTATGGTTATGTAATTGTTGTACATAAATAAAAGCTATGCTTTGATAATGATGTTTACTATCATATTTATTTTGTTTATGTCATTTTGAAGAATATGGATAATCCTCAAATTATGTTTGGATCAAAGACCAATCATGAAGATATTTGTGTAATTGATAGTGGAACAACTCATGCCATATTCAAAGATCAGAAATACTTTTCTTATTTGCATAAGAAAAAAAACAAATATTTCAACAATTTCTGGCAATATAAGTTTGATTGAAGGCTCCGGAAGAGCCACTATATTTCTGTCTAAGAGAACAAAACTTATAATAGATAATATATTATTCTCCGCCAAGTCCCGAAGAAACTTGTTGAGTTTTATAGATATCCGCCGAAATTGGTATCATGTTGAGACGATAGATGAAATGAATATGGAATATCTTTGTATTACAAAGAATGTTTCTGGCCAGAAGTGCATTGTAGAAAAGTTACCATCTTTATCTTCTGGCTTATACTATTCAAAGATTAGTATAGTTGAAGCACACTTTATCGTAAACCAGAAGTTTACTGATTCAAATATTTTTGTACTTTGGCATGGCCGTTTGGGCCATCATGGATCAATAATGATGTGACGAATCACTGAAAATTTGAGTGGGCATCTATTAAAGAACCTGAAGATTCTTACAAATAATGAATTTTCTTGTGATGCTTGTTATCAAGGCAAAATGATCACTAGACCATCACCAATGAAGGTTGGCATTAAATCCCCTGCCTTTTTAGAACGTATACACGGGGATATATGTTAAACTATTCACCCACCAAAGTGGATTGTTTAGATATTTTATGGTCCTAATAGATGCATCTTCAAGATGGTTTCATGTGTGCCTACTATCATCTCGCAACCTGGCGTTTGCAAAGCTATTAGTCCAAATATTCGATTAAGGGCACAATTCCCAGATTATCCTATAAAGGCTATTCTCCTTGATAATGCTGGAGAATTCTCATCTCAAGCTTTTGATGATTATTGTCTATCAGTTGGGGATAAAAGTTGAACATCATGTAGCTTATGTTCATACTCAAAATGGCCTTGCAGAGTCATTTATTAAACGCCTGCATATGATAGCAAGACAACTACTTATGAAAACAAAATTGCCCACTACTATTTGGGGCCATGCTATCTTGCATGCAACATCACTTATCCGTCTTAGACCGACACATTATAATAAATATTCTCCGTCATAATTAATTTTTGGTCATGAACCAGATATTTCCCATCTACGAATTTTTGGATGTGTTGTATATGTGCCAGCACCACCACCACAACACAGTAAGATAGGCCCACAGAGAAGGTTAGGAATATATGTTGGGTTTGAATCACCCTCTATTATTCACTATCTTGAACCATTGACGGAAGATTTATTTACTGCTCAATTTGCAGATTGTCGGTTTGATGAAACAAATTTCTCACAATTAGGGGGAGAGAAAAAGAAAATCAAAAAGTGAAATTGTGTGAAAAATTTCATCATTATCTCTTTTTGACCTACGTACCCCTATATGTAATCAAGAGGTCCAGAAGATCATCCATTTACAAAATATAACAAATCAAATGCAGACGCGTTTACTGATTTGAAAAGGATAACTAAGTCACATATCCTTGCAAAGAATATGCCTATCCGAATTGATGTCCCAACAGGACCATCTACTAGCATGAGAGCTAGTGAACCTAAAGCACGCCTAAAGCATGGTAGGCCTTTGGGTTCTAAGGATCGAAATCCTCGAAAAAGAAAATCGACAAATGATCAAACGATACTATGAAGGGATCCCCTGAAGAGACCTAAGATCTGATTAGTTCTGAGATTCCTGAAAAAATCAATGAACCCAAGACTCAAGTGAGTGAGAAGCTTTTAATAAGTTCTACTGGTGAAGAGATTAATTTAAACCGATCTGAAATAGTGGTGGATAATATTTTTGCATATAATATTGCACTTAACATTATACAAGATAGTGGGGATCTTGAACCCCGATCTATCGAAGAATGTCGACAAAGATCTGATTGGCAAAAATGACAAGAGGCAATTCAATCAGAATTGAACACACTTGCTAAAAGAGAGGTTTTTGGACTAGTAGTCCAAACACCTATTAGTATAAAATCAGTTTGTCATAAATGGGTTTTTGTGCGAAAAAGAAATGATAAAAATAAAATTGAAAGATACAAAGCTCGCCTTGTCACACAAGGATTCTCACAACGACCTGGAGTCGATTTTGATGAAACATATTCACATGTTATAGATGCCATAACATTTCGATATCTCATCAGTTTAGTACTACATGAAAAGCTTGAAATACATCTAATGGATGTCGTTACAGTTTATCTATACGGTTCACTTGATAATGAAATTTATATGAAAATCCCCGAAGGACTTAAAATGCCTGAAGCAAATCCAAAATCTCGGGAAATGTATTCAATCAGATTACAAAGATCTTTATACGGTTTAAAGTAATCTGGGCGTATGTGGTATAATCGCCTTAGTGAATATTTCCTGAAAGAGGGTTACATAAATGATGTTATTTGTCCATGTATTTTATAAAGAAAATAACATCAGAATTTGTTATACTTGCTGTTTATGTTGATGACATAAATCATGTTGGAACTCCAGAAGTGCTCCAAAAGGCAATTGAATATCTTAAGAAATAATTTGAGATGAAAGATCTTGGAAAGACAAAACTTTGTCTTGGTCTGCAAATTGAACATTTAGCAGACGTGATCTTTATCCATCAATCTGCCTATACAGAAAGGGTCTTAAAATTCTTTTACATTGACAAAGCGCACCCATTGAGTACACCAATAATTGCTCGATCACTTGAAGTGAATAAGGATTTGTTCCGACCTCCAGAAGAGGATGAGGAACTCCTTGGTCCCGAAATACCTTATCTTAGTACAATTGATGCACTTATGTATCTTGCTAATGTTACAAGGCCTGACATAGCATTTTCTGTTAATTTTCTAGCAAGATATAACTCTTCTCCTACACGGAGATATTGGAATGGGATTAAACATATATTGCGATATTTAAAGGGAACACTTGATATGAGTTTATTTTATTCTAACAAAGGTAGTGCAGATCTTGTTGGTTATACAAATGCATGTTATTTATCTGATCCACATAAAGCTCGATCTCAAACCGGGTACGTGTTAACATGTGGAGGTACTGTCATATCATGACGCTCCACAAAGCAATCTATTGTTGCTACTTCTTCAAATTATGCTGAGATAATAACTATTCATGAATCAAGTATGGAATGCGTATGGTTGAGATCAGTGATTCATTTTATTCAAGAAAAATGTGATTTGGAATGTGATAAAAGATCCACAATTTTATACGAAGATAATGTTGCATGCATAGCCCAATTAAATGGATGATTTATAAAAGGAGATAGAACAAAATACATTTCACCAAAATTATTCTACACACATGATCTTCAGAAAAATGGTGACATTGATGTGCAACAAATCCGTTCAAGTGACAATCCAGTAGATTTATTCACTAAATCTTTGCCAACTTCAACTTTTGAGAAGATGGTATACAAGATTGGAAGCGGAGACTCAAATATTTAAAATAAGATTTTTATCAGGGGGAGTAAAATACATGCTATACTCTTTTTTTCTTACTAAGGTTTTTTTCACACGATTTTCCTTATAAGGTTTTTATTGAGACAACTAGTTATGCGTATTACTAAATATGTGTACTTTATTTTC